ATTTCTGAAAAAATGTAATGTGCAGGATAAGGCAGACTGCAGAGAGAGAGAGAGAGAGAGAGAGAGAGAGAGAGAGAGAGAGAGAGAGAGAGAGAGAGAGAGAGAGAGAGAGAGAGAGAGAGAGAGAGAGAGACAGACAGACAGACAGACAGACAGACAGACAGACAGAGAGAGAGAGAGAGAGGTGTGTGTGTGTGTGTGTGTGTGTGTGTGTGTGTGTGTGTGTGTGTGTGTGTGTGTGTGTGTGTGTATGTGTGTGTGTGTGTGCGTGTGAGAGAAAAAAAGAAAAAGAGAGAGGTTCACGAATTACATAACGTCGACCCAGCTGCCTATCTACCCCTGGCTGGACTGCGCTCATCACAAGAGAGAAAAAGACTTGAATGGAATCGTACGGGATGTTGACATGGAATAATGAGCTCATCTCTCACACAAACAAGCCTTTGTGATGTGTTTACACCGCACCCTTTGTTGTTTCACACACGTATCTTTAAGAAATGGACGTTAGACTTTTTTTTTAAGTAAAATTTCATGTTATATACGACACGGGGAGTATAATTATTTCTAACTATTTAAAATTGTGAAATTAAGCATACTCAAGTCGTAATATAATTTGGAATCTTCACTTTCCATGATAAAGGGGGAGTGCCTGGCGGGACGTGATTGCATTACCGAACGACAGCTTCAATGCAGACCGAGACACGCTTTGTTGCTCACGAGATCTCGGAAAACAATATTGGTTGCCATGGAAATCAGAGAGCCAGGGTATCATGCACAACAGCCGTGGTCATAGAAACACAATGTATTGCAATATATACATGGCCACACATTTAGTTACTAGACATCAAATGTACAAGAGACAAGACAAAATGTGCTAACGTAAACAAACACATACACACGCATGGACGCTCTCGCACTCTCTCACAGTGAACGAATAAACACGTCTTGAAGTAATCAACATTCCAGTCTCCGCTCACTCCATTTACCGACTAACCGCATCAGCGCATTAAACTCACCTCGATAACGGATTTTAATGCTCGCCATATCATGCAAATATCTATTTTTTTCTTGTATGCACGTACTTTTAACAATCAACACACATTCAGCTTGCTTCGAATTCACACGTGGCGGTCACGCTCACATCCACACCTTAACAACATTCGCACATTTACAAGTCTCCTCGTGCATACCGCGAGCAAGATTAACTCCCGCAAATATTTATCATACACCCAAACATTCGCAGGTATATCGACCTCCTCCCTCGCGCTTGGTCTTGACAGTCTGCCTCCTTCGAACACCCAAACATTGGCATTCCTTTCGGCCCACGCCACACGCCCGCGGGCTCGGTTTCCTGCTAACGTTTTCCGAGGGTTTATTTCCGCCCTTGGCAAACGTGCGAGGAGACACGCCCACACGCACACCCGTTCTTCCCTAATTTAGGTAGATGAGGATCGTAGTTTAGGCTGTGACCCTTTGTGGATATTTGTGCGGAGGCTTTGGGGAAACAAGGTCAGTGTTTAGTAGGGTCAAGGTTTTGTTGTGATTCCTCTCAGAAGAAACATTCCGTGGAAATTAGATATACATTAGTTGTAAACGTATTGAGAATTATTGTTTACACATATTCAGACTGTCGCTCCACCTTACCTCCGTTCTTCATTTTTTTCATAAAGTTTTAAAGAATGAGGTCTGATGCGAACACACCCACAATAGATTGCCTGCACACGACGCGTCAAAACAAAGGAACCCAAATAAACCTAAATTTAGGCATGTCTACAACTTGCTGAAGATGTTTGATTGCACAATACTCAGTTTTGTGACGGTCACTCTCTATCATTTGTATGGACAATACAAGCACTTGCACGCAGCCACGCAGACACTTTATTCAAGGCCACAGCACAGTATGTGGAAATGAGAACGCTTGTGTCTCATTTACCTCGTCACGGAAAAATATATACAAACGTTAAATAATCCATGATGCAGGACAAAGAACGTGTGTGGTTGATACCAAAACCTAAATAACAGTAAACGAATTCCTGGGTAAAGGAACACGAGGACATTTCGTACTGGAAACAGACTTAAAAATCTGACAGTTGCAAAGGTTAAATGGGATTTGCCGTCTCTCGGCTCTGCTTCATATTGACTCGATTTAATGGCCTGAATAACTGGAATGACCACTACCATGTTCCTGATCTTAACAAGGGCAAGATCAAAGGATACCTTAGAGAGAGAGAGAGAGAGAGAGAGAGAGAGAGAGAGAGAGAGAGAGAGAGAGAGAGAGAGAGAGAGAGAGAGAGAGAGAGAGAGAGAGAGAGAGGGAGGGAGGGAGGGAAGTTGGGAGGGAGAGACATACAGATATAGATAGAGGGAGATAGAGAGAGAGAGAGAGATAGAGGAAGATAGAGACAGACAGACAGACAGATAGAGAGAGAGAGATTGGCGATCTATTGTGTTCTCATTAGTCTTAATGAATACTTAAAGAATGCCAGAGGATTTAAATCGAAAAAAATAAAAAACGACGATCTCCTGGATCCTGTGGACACGTGCGTAAAGAATTAGTAAAACGCATAGCATAGTACCATCGCAAACGAGTTGAACGCAAATGACACAGAAATATGGCGAGAGTTCGGGAGATTTGGCACACAGGATACTAACCTTAACCTGTTTCTATCAGAGCCAAAAATAATATACCGTTATTTAGCTGTCCTTAATATATTCTGTCCCTAACCATGTCGGCTGAATATAAGATTTACACGCTTTGTTGATCTGTGTCGAGTGTATAAACACACTCTTTCAAAAATCACATAAAAACAAATACATTTAAAAAGGAAAGAAACAAAAAAGTATAGAAATCCAAACTAGGACATACTTTAAGGACGCAAACAAGTACAGTCAAACCACGTGTACAAAATTTACAGGAAATTTACACGAAAATTCTTTATCGGAGGTAAATTATTGTGTGATAAAACGAGAGCCAATCATTCCCCACGAGTCGGTGCAGAGACAATGTTTTTGATGATGTCCTTGTTTCCTTAACTTTAATACTCTGGTATTGGCATATTTCAATTTTTCTACACTCACATTTTTCTCACTTTTCGGTTGCTTTGGTGTTTTTGCTGCTGTTCTCTTATAGTTGTTCACTGCTCTGATGCTTTGTTTTCCTTCTTTTTCTTCTCGTTATGGTGTTTTTTGTTGTTGTGTTCTTATGTTTTTTTTCCTCTTGGTGTTTTTTTCCTTCTTTTTCTTCTCGTTACAGTGACAACGTTCATTATCTTTTTTACGCGTTTTTGCCTCGTTACGCATCTTAATTTTCTTCCTTGTCGTTATAATGACACTTTCATTATAAATTACACATTTTTAACTCGTTACGCATCTTAATTTTCTTCCTTGTCGTTATAATGACACTTTCGCTATCATTTGCACACTTTTGACTCGTTACGCATCTTAGGCAAAATCTACTACCGTTACGACCATTGCCTACGTCACAAATTTTCCTCTTTGTTACGGGTCACGGTCGTTGCCGGCGGCTTTTTGTCATTAGCATATTTTTACATTATTTATTTTTTCTCACGTGACGCGGGATAATAATGGGAAAGATGATACTGCAATTGCTCTGGGTGGAAGATATCGGTGGTGCGATGATACTGAGATGTGAAGATCATTAAAGTGAATGTGTGTTAAAAAGAGTTAAAGGGAGAAAGGGAGGTAGGTATTATATTTATATTATGTATTTATGTGTATTATATATATATATATATATGTATATATTATGTATGTATGTATGTATGTATGTATGTAAGTATGTATGTATGTTTGTATGTATTCATATATATACATATAT